CGGGGTGGTTTAGAAGTTGGTTCAGTCTAGAATCTCTAGGTATAAGACTGTAGGGGTCGGTTTAGATCAGGACAGGTCCGTAGGGGATGGTTCTAGGCATTGTTAAGTCTGATCAGAGGGAAATTAGATTACATTAGGCTTAGTTTAGGTCTGATTAGGGTACTAAAAGTCTAATCAGGGGTTGGTAAGTCAATAGGATTGGCTTAGGTTTATTGATTAGGACTTTTAGGTAATTGACTAGGACATAGGGTAACTAATCAAGGGTTGCTTAGGTCAATTAGGATTGGCTTAGGTTTGATTAGGTTTCTGATCTAATCGGAACTTTTGGTTGTCTAATTAGGGCTGTTAGGGTCTAGACAACACTTCAATTAGGTCTGATTAGGCTTTGTGAGGGACCATGTAGACTTGGGGTCGTAGGACCGGTTAGGACTTTGTTGGGGGCCATGTAGACTCGATGGTGTAGGTCTAATTAGGCATAATCAGGTCAGGTTAGCCTTAAGTTAGGTCTGGTTAGACGTAATCAGGTCTTAAGGTAGGCTGTTTAGCGAGTCTAATAGGTCGGTTAGGTAAATTATGCCTAGGATAAGTCCATTCAGGTTTGTGCGAGAGTCTAAGAGGTCGGTTAGGTAGAAATATACCTTGTGTTAAGTCCAATCAGGTCTGATCTAAAGTCTATTAGATCCGTTTAGGTAAGATATACCTAGGGTGAAGTCCAGTTAGGTTTGGTTTAAAGTCCGTTAGATCGGTTTAGGTTGAGTACCTAGATTAAGTCCAGTCAGGTCATGTTCTCTTAATCTAGTAGGTCTGAGTAGGTAGAGGCGTACCTAGGTTTAGGACCGATAGACTAGGGTTAGAGTGTGTCAAGCACGACTAGGTAGAAATATACCTAGGGTTATCCTCTAGTGTTCGGTCTCTTCCCTTTAGGTCATGGTTTAGTCACTCTTAGGGTCGGTTAAGTCTCTTCCGGGTAGAGTCAGTTTTAGACTCAGGTCTTATCGTCTTAGGATGATGGAGTTAGATTTTCTAACTCGGTATACCCCAAAAGGGGGTATGGTGGAAGGACTAGGGATCTCGGGCAAACCCGAGAAATCGGGTTGCAGGAGAAGGCCAAGGACCAGGTGGAGTGTTTAGTTCCGCGGGTAGGTAGGGACACTACAAGAAGGAGTTGTAGGTCCCGGATGACGAGGTAGGGAGAGTCCGAGGTAGAAGGACGGATTGACCTCGAAGGAGTAAACCGAATTTGCTTCGGTTCTCGCTGGTAGATCAGGAGATGAGGTCTCCACATTTAGGTGGAGCTTCCTCGAGTAGGATGCTCAGGAGATGGTGTGAGTGGGAGGTGTCGGGTCACGGGGTAGAGTCGATATAGGTTGGAGCGCTAGGACACTCCCTCTCGGGGTGGAGCACGTGCACTCACGTGTCTCATTCTCGGTGGAGCATTCATAGAGGACTAGGAGCGTCTTCACGGGACAAAACCAAGGGACAATTATAGTTGGCATGTTAGGGTCTGAGGGTAGAAGTCGCATACTCATAGGTAGTGTAGACGCTACGGGGATCCTGGGCTAGGTATATAGCGGATTCGGTAGTATGACTCAGGTTAGTCTCAGGGGAAGTCGGGATAGACTCGGAAGACGGGTAGACGTCGGGTATAATCCTTGGGTTTGCTAGCAGGTGAAGTCTCGGACTTTACCAAGGAGAGTAGTTAGACGGTCTAGGGAGTCATACAACCGAGGGTAGCATTTGCCGGTCGGGTGTCGTGTGTTAGGACTCCGGTTCGAGTCCTATCGATGTGAACGTTCTGATACGTTTACCGAGTGTTTCAGGTATGAATGAGCGAGATCGGTGGCGGAATAAGGCTACGAGGCCTTGGGGAGTCATCGGCGAGAGATTCATCAGATTCGAGGTGGCAGAGGTCTTGACTCTGGTACAGGTGAGACAGGAAGTCAGGGTAAGTTTGCGTTTTAAATTCCGACGAAAATTGAGGGATCGGCGAAAGTCGATCGGTGCTGGAAACGACGAACCACTAGTGTTTAATTTTATTATTTCTTGTTCGCTTTCTCCACCAAGGTGGAGATCGTTGGGCCTTAAGGCCCGTTGGCGGAAAAGAGAACTTTCTCATTGAGAAGGAGGTTTCGATATTTTAACCGAAACATAGCGTTTCGATAAGGGTTGATATGAACTCTAATGTCTTGATTCTTCGATGAACACACACTCGTGGCTCGAGGAGGAATGTTCGAGAGAGAAAGAGAGCGAGAGACGATCCGAAGGGCTGAGACGTTCTTCCGGTGAAGCGGAGGAGCGGCGGCGGTCGGCAACACGTAATGGTAAGGTCGGTGACCTTAGGTGAGTTCTAAACTCGGTGTGGGTTCGTGTTGTGTCTCTTCTCTTGGTGTTTCTCGGTGAGCCTCCGACCTTGGTGTTTCTCGGTGAGCCTCCGAACTTGGTGTGGAGTGCCGCCGTGTTACTCTTCTCGGTTGTTTCCATCTTCTAGTGGATTCGTCGGCACCGTCTGGCCCAGATGTAGGCCCGAGGAAACTCGGTAACCGAACTCGTTAAAAGTCTCTTGTGTTCTTCTTCTTCTTGCATGGACGAGCGTCGGAGTGGATGTGAGGACTCGATACCTCTATTTCTGAAATATTTTTGTGGTATATATTTTTGTTTTATGTATTTTTTATCCATTTATTTTTTTTATGTTTTTGGCGAATAGGTTCACAACCATATTTGTCTATGACATTGCTTCGCAACATAAATTATAAATTTTTGCTTCTTGTTTTCGTTTTTCTTGGTTGCATTGGATAAATGCCAATCTTTTAATGTTGTTATTCTTTCTCCCAGAGTATTGGGGATTTGTCCTTCATTTATTTTATTATGAAATATAGTTTTTATTTCTTCTGATATTGATAAAGGAAGTTTATCAAAGAATAATTATTCGGCTACTATTTTCTTATCTGTTGCAAGTTAATAGTAATGATCTCTGAATTCGCAAATGAATGCTTTAAGACAGCACATATTGCAAATTCTAAGATTTACTATTTTTCATAATACAACTTCTGATATTTGTGTTTCTCTTAGTTGTGCATTAGAAGTTCTTACAAGAAATTCTTCCCCTATTACGTCGATTAGTCTAACAAATGTTTTCCATGCAGTTGATCTTAGAATTTTTTCTGCTTTTATTCCTGATGATAATCCTATTAAGTAGTTATATATTATTCCTGTTGTTTTATGTTCTAAGTAACTTAACATTTCGTGAGGGTGTAATTCTCTTAATTCTTTATTAGTTTGTATTAGTAAATTTGTACGATTTTTTCAATCTTCTAATGTTCTGATTGGATTAATTTCACAATCTAGATTTAATATTTCTGAAGATTTTATATTAAATGTATCATATTTTAGAATATATTCAAAAGAAACTTTTCTCCAATTGTTTTCTTTCGGAATATATTGGTTTTGATATAATTCGTATTCATGATCTTTGTATCCTTGATATTCATCATGTGTTCGTTTTTTAGGTAATGTATTATTATTACTGTTATCTCCCCTCTCTAGTTCAGTTTTAACTAGAAAAAGATTGTTATATGGACTTTCGTAGGGATTTTCATCACTATTAAATCTAAGACAGTTTTTTTAGTTTCATCAGGTTGTTCTTCTTCGGGTATATTAAGAGCAACTAATAATATTGATAATTTTTCTATCTGATCAATTAATCCTTCAATTATATTTTTTGTGGTGATCTAATTCGAAGATTAATTTGATCGATAATAATTAATTTTTTTGTTTCTTTCTTAAAATAATTTTGTAAATCTTTTATAGTGATATATTTATTTTGATTAAGTCATTCGATTATTTCTTGTAACTGTTCTATTATTTCTAATATTTTCGGTTTTTCATCTTCGTCTAGATTTATTATTTCTTTTATTTTATTTTTTGTAATAATATTTTTTACTAATTCTTTAACTTCGTTAAGTTCTTTTATTATTTGAATTTGTCTGTTATTATAACTGTAGTTATTTGTTGTTGTGAGTATTTCTGTTATATTTAGTAACAATTCTTTTAACTCGACAGTTGTTTCTCTAATTAATTTTTCTATAGTTTTCTTTATAGTTTCAGTCATCATATTATTGTTTTAATATATTCTTTTAATTCTTCAGAGTATTGTTTCATTTCTTTAATACTTTTTTCTTATAAATATATTATTTCTTCTAATTTTTTGTTTATATTTTTAGTTTCATCTTGTTTCTCATGGTTCTATTCGAATATTTTTATTAATCTTTGCAGTTGATTTTCTAAATCTGTTTTTATAGTTTCAATATTTCTTTTTAATTCTTCGTCATTTTCTGGATTTTGATGTATGATTCCATAAGAAATCATTTCAACAATATTATTTAGGGTAAAACCTATTTTCTTTATTTTATTTCCGAGATTATGATTAGTATCATCATCAAATATGGTACCAATATAATATCGGCTTTGACTATGAAGATTTTTTGGTATTGTTATCACATTTTCTTTATAAGAAAATCCGGGATAACATTCATCTTCGTTTGTTAATATTAATGGTAATCCTTTCAAAAAATCAATTTTTTCGTTATTCATAATCGTTGCCTTGCCCTGATACCAAATGTAAATCAAATGTAATTCGTGTGGATTTTGTCAGATTAAAAATTGTCAGACTATTCAAATGTAAATCAAATGTAATTCGTGCGGATTTTGTCAGATTAAAAATTTAGTCAGACTGGTCAGACCGATTAAACTGGTCATACTTTTTCAAACTAATTATACCAAGAAAATTTGGTCATACTAGTTATTTTGATTTTATCGTAATTTTTTCAAAAATGTTGGATATTTTAGAAATTCTAGATATGCTAAAGCTACACTTATCATTTTCAAGGTTATTTTTGTTATTTTGCCAATAAAGAAAGGGTGCCTTTGTATTTAAGAAAATGAGAAACCAAAATTCCTGGTGTTAAATTGCCACCACCAAATAATGCAACCTTTGTACGTCGTGTTTATTATTTTATTTCAGTTATTTCAACGGTATCGATGGTTTCACCGCAGAAGCACACGTGTCAACAATCCAAACAATGAAAACACTTTCCCCTCTGATTAGAAATCCCCCCCCCCCAAAAAACAAAAGATAAACCTAAAAGAAAAGGGCCAAGAAAATCCTTTTTCTTCTTCTTCTTCTCTTTCTTCACCGGCAGCTAGCTACTGCTTTCTCACATATGCATGCACTACCATAGCATGTAAAAATGATATGACGATTCCAGGGCCAGACTGAAAGAAATCTGCCTTTGACACACACACTCTCTCTCTGTGGCGTTGGAGATGGCAGAGTTGCAGCCAGGAGACGGCCAGCAGCCAAACGGCGCTCTTCCTCCGCCGGCTACCACCGCGGCTGAAGCACCGGCAGC